ACCGTTTTTTTCTGAGAGGACTTTTTCCATTAAGACTGTGTTGTTGTTATAGTCTTTCCTTTCTACACCATTCAGAAACCAGGCATAGCTCAGGTTCAGATTAGGGATGTTGTGAGAGCATGTTAGTGTTATGTCATCACCCTCCTCTATGGGGTCCTTAGAGCTTTTGATCTCAGCTTTAAACCCTGTTGGAAATAAAAAGATCATTTAGGTTTCAGAAAATAAGATTATTGTTAGGCTTACTTCTTAGTTTATAAAGTAAACATCTTGGAGAACAATATCTACGATGTTCCCAATATGATCTATTTGGCACATTCCTTGTCGATGCAGGCAATAGTTCCAATGAATTACAAGTATGCATTTTCAGTTGTTTTCTTTTTAAGTCTACAGACCTTCTTTTACCACACATCTGACTTAAAAATCATATGTAAAACTTCTAGCTCTTATCTTAAAGTAAACATGTTAAAAACAAAGAATCAACATACCTTTTTCGCACTCAGTGCTATTATAATCCCGCTCACAACATTCTACAAAATAAAAAAGAACAAAATACATAAATATATATATTTTGGAGAAGTCTTTAAGATCACTTTTATCATCAATGTTGACATTTCTGACCATAGTTCCTTAGTTTTTACCTTTTTTAATATTACATCCCTTACATTCCTCAGAGACAGAGGAAGAGCAGACACAGGCTATAGAAAACAGAATATAGAAATGAATTAGATTTAAAAACAATCAACACCCAAGCAGAAATATTGGAGTATAACCAGATATTTGATGAGTTTTCACCAATAAGAAGTCCGACCAAAAGATCTCTCACTGTTCTGGTCATTCTCTGTAAGCTAAGAGTGATGCATGTAAGACAAATATAAAGAACATCTAGTAATGCCAAAAAAAAAAAAAGTAAGTACTTAATATGTGCTTCAGATGTCTTGATTTTACCTGGATTGTAGCTCCGGGCGCGGAGTGGCGCAATGACTTGTTCTGCTTTGCTTAGTCTAAATGCCTCTGTTACAGCAAAAGCTAGGAAGAGCTGATTATAAACATAGATAAGGATGCAAATTCATTCATTCCTGGAGCCTCACAAACACTGCTACTGTTTTTTCCTGCTCCGAAGGCAGAAATGACAGCTGGTGATCACAGTGTGGGTGCAGCTTTAACGCAAATTTGTTCAAATATTTTAGGTCTCTATAAATACGAAAAGCTTGCTTCCAGGTTATCCACACAGAGAAAAGTTCACAGCCACACAAAATCAACAGGCATTAGTAAGCAAACTTTTACTATTGTTAAGGTTCCGTTTATTGATATTTTTAAAGACTAAAATAGACAGATGTAAGATGAAGTGAAGTATAAACTCAGAGAGTACTGAAGTACTGAAGTCTAGTCTGTTATCAGAAAAAAGCTGTTTTCCTATGCAAAGTAGCTGTTCTCTTGGCATATTATATATAATGAGACCCATATATAAGATACTCTAGCTAAGAAATATGTGGGTTGCAAAAAAAGAAGAATTTTGAGCATGCAGATATATTTAATAATAAATTGTTTTATAGTAATAGTTTTATTTATTCTCACAGTGGCCACTAGAGAGTGTTGCAGATCAACTTTTCTTCCCTTTTCCTCTGAGGAAAAAGGATTCTGGAGCACTTAAAAAAAAACAAAAAACAGAGAGATTTTGCAGAAGCCATGAAAGTGCCATTTAAGCACCAGCTTGTTTGAAAATACAAACAGCGAAAAGATGATCACTCAGAAACTGACAGATATTTTTAGGGGTGTATCTATTTGCATGTCAGCCACATCCAATGAAAATCATGCTGAATACATGATCCACTTTTCTCCTGTTTCCTCTCTAGTTTATGTCCCCTAACATTTTAAAATGAAAGCAAAAGTCTACTTTACTGACTACTCATGTCAGACACTCAAATTAGCTCAACCCAGTTCCTTAAACTGATAGAAAAACACCCTACATTTTAAGGAAGAACAGAAAAGAGGGAACATACCTTTACTCAAGTTTGATGTTATATTTCTTTCTACAGCTAAACTCTATAATAACACCCCTTGATATGTCAGATTACCTGTTCTGCTTCTATGCTGCAAGAAGGAACGCAAGGCTGTTGCTATAGGTGGTAGATAATGATGGACCTGATCTATATTACACACAACTGTCAGTTTAAAGAGAAAGAACAGGCCTCAACAAGTTTGAATCAGCTTAACGTTCATTACATTCATAATAGCTGCTTAGGAGGGAAGTTTCATCCTGGGTGTTTGAGTCATTACAGAAAATGAACAGCTCAATTTGTCTGGGAGGTAATTCTGATGCACTTTGTAGGGAAAACGTTAGTTACGACATTTCCTGCCATTCAAGTTCTCCTCTAGGTTTATTTTGTAGAAATTTCATTTCCCCTCACCTCTAGATCTCTGTTGTTTCCAGTTATATTTGTTAGTTTATTTCTCTTCCTTTTCATTGCTCTTATTTGATTCCATGACTTTTAGTATTTACTAGTCCTGCAGTCCGGGTTAAATCCATTCATTGATAATTAAACAATCTCTTAGTTTAAAAGGTAATGTTAAAATTATTTCCAACATCCTTACAGTCTTGCATTCTTTTTTTTTTACGATCCTCATTCAGATGGGCAGATCTTTTTTTTTTTATACTGATCTTAGTTTTGCTGGAGGTTTCTTCCCACTTCCTGTTTGCTGTTACGATATGCCTGCTAGGCTTCCCTCAATGAGACATTACTGCAAAATCAAAGACTTTATACCATTATCTGGATTTTCTTACACAGAATTTCCTCTTATCAATCAGCATTTGATAATCATCTATATCTAATCATGTTGAATTTAAATCAAAGCAGGATTTAACTGGACTGTCTCTGAATATTAATATATCAGTGAACTGGGGATAATAAAACTGGATTCAAAAAGGAGGCAGTAGAATTAACTCCTGCTTTCAGGACATTTTTTCCATACCTTGACTTGGAGATACTCTGTATTTTCACTTTCATAAAAGAAATAAGTAAGGGGGACTTTAAGATAAAAATGTAACTGTTACTTTGGGTTTCTTCCAGGTTCATATTTGGGTCCATTCAGAGAATTCAAATTGTAGCCTATAGCTCCTCTTCCTTAAGCTTTGGTGAGGTCGACAGTAAGAAAACCATTGTCGGTAAGAAAGCAACTCCTGACTGCTGACGCCAGACAGCCTTTATCTTTGGGGACGTCATTACAGGAAAGACATGCAAATTTGGAAAAAGAACAACAAGAGAAATAGTTACACTAACTGAACCAATGGATGACGCCAAGATATATGACGTAGAGGACATTTTAATGTGTCTAACAGAGCATGGTGAAGATATAAGCTACTGTATGTCCAAATATCTGCCCTAACCACTTTATAGGGCACTGTCTAGGGGTTAGGCCATTTCAGATGAGTCTCTGAACGTCTAGTGGATGAAAAAGTAGAGAACTCGAAATTTCCTTCAATGCACCTTAAAGAGTTGTGATCATCTATGGTCACTGGAGCAGATAAATCCCATAATGCTTTGCGAGGAGAGCTCTCCTCGCAAAGCATTATGGGATTTGTTGTCACAATGGCCCACTGTTGCCATAGGCTGTTGCTACCAGAAAGTGGAGACAAATAAAGATGGGGCAGGCAACGTGTTGGGGAGGGGAAGTCACATGACTAACAGGGAGCGAAAAGTTGTATCTGTCCGAACGGGCAGTTAACTTAGTTCACTTTAAAGTCCACTCTATAGGCCCCACTCTATATAGTGATTGAGAGATTTAGGGGTTGGGGCGGATGTTAGAGCACAGCATGTACTTGTTAAACTCTAAGGTGGGCTGTGCCTGTATGTCCTGTCATGCAAAGGATTGTGGGATTCCTTATAGGTCCTAGGCTCTAAATAGGAACACTGCAAGATCTATGCTACATGAACTATGATAGGAAGCATCCAGCTTATTTTCCTTCCTCCTTCCTTACTGCGAGCGCTTTTGAAACAGCATCATGGTGACCGCTGACACGCTCCTGCTTTGGCTTTAGAGTTTTTACTAATAAAAAAAAACTCAGATGAATCTTTGCTGTCTTTAACAGTGGAAAGTGAACTAACACCAGTAAATGTGCCCTACTTTCTAAATACTTCCCTACACAAATATGTTACATTTAATTTTCTTATTTTGCTAATTTGCACATTTCTGTTACTTCACCAGGCCTGGATATAGTGGATGCAAACTGTTAAGATAAGAGTCCTATTATGAGTGCAAAGGTTGACTCTCAGTTTTTTTCTTATTTACATACTTTATAATTTTTAGAGAGAAAATAAAAGAGCAAAATAAACAAAAGCCACAGCAATGTATGGAGATTACAAACAGCTATATTTGACGCAGTTTTAGCCTCACATGCAAAAGTAAAATTTGCTTTTTGATATAATTATTTCAAGGCACCTGAAATCTAAAACACACTCAGGGTATAGGTAACCATACCGAAATATGTAAAGTAGGTAAACTGTTGTAGCCAGACACTCTTTTAAACTTCAGATAAAATGAGTTATAGGTGTCAAAGCTTTCTTCAAAGAACAATTGCTTTATTATGAGCTTTCTTGCAGTTTTTTTCAGCCCATAAGTTTTCTGTTAATCAAATTAGGATGTTAAATGAAAGACTTCTTTCACTTAACATATTGAAGGATAAATAAAGTGCTCGATTTAAGTTCTTTTGTCAATGTTTTATTTACATTTGGGAACACACAGCTATCTCTAGCCCTCAGTAGTCCTATTTATAATCCACTGAGCCTTAAAAACTGCCTTGCTGGGCACTAATGTAAGTATATTTTAAAACAAGAAGTTCAAACTTCAAATGGCAAATATTCACAGTTCACTGTTGGTTATTAAACAAACCATGACAGAAATGTTAAGAAATAAAAGATGAAATCGGCTCTGCTGGTCTAAATTAGCAGCCATTAATTAAGGGTGGACAGTGCCAGCTGTGCAGTTTTGTAGCACTCTTACAATGTAGACATGACCCACGGAGGAGGTGGATGTTGTCATTTATATGGTCTCACTTACAATGGTGGCTATCAATGGACTTTTAAACAGGTTTCCTGGCCTGAGAAACAGCTTATCCCTTAAGCAACAAGGGAAATACCAGAAATGGCAAATCTGGGGCAAAAGAAAGGACACAAAGGTGAGTAATTGACTTCTCTATAAATTTAGCTTAAACATGCATATATGTTAAATAATTGCCTTAGCATTTTTTTACAGGCCTACCCATTATGAGTTTTATGTAAAGGTTTATTATATTTTTATCTTTAGTCTAATTAGAAGCTAGACAGAAAGTGGCATTTGATTGCTTATTTGAAAAGCTTACAATTTCCCAGCTTGGAAGTGTCAAACTAAACTCCTCAGGACCTCTTAATCCTGCTAAGAACCTAATTAGTTGCTTCAGGTGTGTTACTTATAACAGACGCATTGAAAAAGGTGCAGGACACCAGACCTCAGGTCAGGAGTCTTGTCTGCATCTCTAATAATGAGAAACTAAACTATTTAGTAACAGTTTGTAAATAAAAGTAGAATTTTTCTGTAAAACAAGACGGTCTGATAAATGGCTTAAGGTGACCTGTTTTCTTAACTTGTTTTTTATACTTATCTTAAATGGGTGCTTTTAATTGTGGGTGTATATAACTCTAACTCTGTATTTAGATTAAATGGGTGGTTAAGTATTTAAAGATGATGGGAGTTGTCAATCAATGGTTGAGATTTTTGGCAATATGTGGTCAGATAACACAGTGAGGTTGCTGTTGTGGTTTATGGCATTTATTCAATGTTGCACAAAGAAGGTGCTGTTTCGGAAGTTACATATTGTGAATTGCTGGTTTATTTAGTCTCTTTAGCTTTACTGCTTTATGAAGAGGCTCCCGAGTTCTTTGATCAAAATGCTAATAGTCTAATTCGGAGGACTTCAACAGGAGGTCCGCGACCTCTAGGGGGTCCAAGGAGGTACTGCTTGGGGGTCGCAAAGGTTTTGTTGCTTAGACTTTTTTTGTTTTGTTTGTTTTTTTATATTCCCCGCTGTAATTTTTCTCACTAATTGAAATATCTTTAAATAAACATTAACACGAATTCAACACACTATAGTAAACAGATAAATGGAGGCAGATGTTGTCTTTCAGTCATCAGTGCACACATTCAGCGACACACAGGAGCTCTTTCAAACTGGGCACCATTTCATTCGCAACACCTGTCCCATAAAACAGGAATAAGAATGAGTAATACTTTAATAATCTCAGAGCAAAATTACTTTGGTTACAAAACCCCATCTGTAATAGGGTGACTATAGAACCAGTTTGATATAACACAATTTCATAAAATATATATAATCAGGGGGTCCCCGCTCCATCTCGCCATCAGCTTGGGGGTCCTTAGCCTGGAAAATGTTGAAAACCCCTGGTCTAATTCATATTTATCTGTTTAAAACTGAAAGTGATAAATTTAGCATTTCCAAATGGAAAATTCACCAAAGTTAAATTATTTTCACAAACAGAAGTTCAAACAACTATGCCTTCAACAAGCCTATACTAAAAAAAAAAGTATGTTGAGTTAAAAAACATATAAGACTCAAGTTCCTTAAATTTGTCTGAGCATTTTTTTTTTCAATATTTTTTTAATAGGGTAAACTTGAGAGATATTCAAGTGTACCAACAATGTTCATTTTAACTGGATACATTTGTGTTTATATGAATTTTTTTGTCAAGTTAAAAACTTTCAGACAATGCACAACAGTTTTGTGGAGAAATAAAACTTTGACACATCAAACTAAAACTCAGCTGCATGGTTCTGAAAGTCTGTACAGCAGCTGAACTGCACAAAAAACGTTGTCAATCTGCCTGCGTGCCCACATCATAGTTACTCAAGATGTAGGTTGAGAACAGTTTGATCATAGTAACCATACTTCCTCTTCTGTGGCTTGTTGCTATGGCGAGACTTCCCTTCCAGGCAGGAAGTAACAGGAGGACCCAAGTGATGTCTGCGTGTTTATGAGGACGGTGCACCAAGTTTGGGTGGAGCACTTTGCTGTGTCCCTCTGAGAGAGCATAGAGGTTCTTAGCATTTTTATCTAGTGTCGGGGGGCCACCATGGCGAAGAACAGCAATTCATTAGGGATTCCTGTTGGCAGCATGGTAAGAATGTACCACTTTATTTAGGTTTTACAATGGTTTCTCTAACTTCAGATGTTTCAAGTTATTTATTTATTTTTTTTGTGAGATTTTTTGTCTGTCAATCTCCAGTTTTAAAATGTCAAAATAGCCTCCTTTTGCATTAATTTTCTTCTCATGTTAGTCGACATTTGGTGTGGAGCATCAATACTGTAGGGTTGATGAGCAGTTGTATCATGTTGGCTTGCGATGCCTGACTTCACTGCTCTGCAGGACCCGAACCAATCAGGCTGTGTGGTTACAGTTGGTCACCACTGAAGACAGGCTGGTCTTTAAGAGACAGAAGCAGGAACCAAGCCATGCATGTGGTCCAATCTGTCCTGTGTAGGCTGAATTGGCTTTAATTCACTTGCCATTTCCTAAAATGGCTCAGCTGTTAAGTAAACATCTTTTCATAGATGTCTCTAATGAAGCATGGAAGTCTTGGGTGTTCAGTAAACTGCTTGACTACTGCTTTGCATTAAACTTAAGATAAAATTCTCTTCATTTGTCGAGTTTTTTCTGTTTTCATGTCGGTTTCTGCCTCAAGTACAGAAAGTAAAATGTGTGCATGCCAGATAATGCCACCTCATTAATTTAATGAAGTATATCTAACTTCTCTTGTTAACTTCCTGTAGACACACTATCGATGTTTTCTTTTTTTTTTTTAGTTCAAAATCTAAAAAGAAAGCAAAAAAAACAAACATTAAATGCGGAAGTCAAAGAGGAGTTCAGTTGCAGCAAAAAGTCAATACCTTGCTATATAGGATTCTGTTAAAAATAATGGCTGAGACACATTGTGATTATCATCAATGACAATTAAAGCTCTAAAACAGAAAAGTACTTTAGATCATATCTTGCATGCATTTTGCACCCATAAATTCACTTTTCTTTACTTTAACTTTAAACCCTTCGTCGACCCCCCCCCCCCCTTTTTTTTTTCTTTCTCTTTAACTGATACCTTTTTTCAGGGGTTAGAAAAAGATTGTATAACTTTAAAACTGTGAATTTGACCTAAGAGACTTGATGTTAGAATATGCAGAACTTTTTTTTGTAATGAAACTTAAACTGAGGATGCAAAAAAATAACAGAAGCAGGAGTTTGTATCCATGTCTAGTTCAACAATTTAAACCCAAGAACAACCACATTGTAACCAGCTTAATTCCTCAAAAACTAAATTTCAGTAAAACTAATTGAAATAAATTTTAATGTAAACCCTGATGATTAACTCTTCACTAACTCAACTTAATGAAGTTCCAAGCAGGGGATTTGGGGGATGTCAACTTTTTAAACTGCTGCTTGACAGGAATTCCTCGTGGACAAATATGTCTGATTCTGCAGAGAATGTTTATTAAGAAAGGAAAACAGGTAGTTTTTGTTTTTTGGATGACAAACACCTTGTGACACAAGTGGAATTTTGGCAGCTGTTACTCAAAAAGCCATTCAGTAAAAACAGAGTATGTTGAATAACAGCTCTAAAAGTACAACTGGTCAAATCTTGAAGTAGGAACTACAATTTACACAGATTAATCAAATGTTAATATTAGACTGAAAAACATGACCCGGTCCTTCAATTTTTTTTCAGCTGCAACATCCCGATGGAGGAGTTTAAGGTTTTAGGTAAACATCATAGAAGCATGGATCCATCTTGACTTTTATGCTCTAGGCTGGAGGCCCACATTGGACTCTCTTTAGTAGGACCATGTACATCTACTTGTAATGTGTACCTGTAGATGATGTACAAAGCTCTAATGAACTCCAATTGTTCTTGTTTCTGCAGCCTTTATGCTATCATTTCAGTATAGACTAAAATTTCAGAATATATCTGAGTGGAATCCATTCCATGGAGCAGGGGTCACCAACGTGGACCTTCAAGAACCACATGGAGTGCCCTCAGTCTTCTGAAAATAGAACAACTCATCAGTTTGCTTCTTGTTTAATCGCTTTAGAGCATTTCAAAATGACATTGTCTAAAATAAAAGAATGTTTATGATGTATGAAGTTTAGCTGAACGCTGACCCTTTCAGTTCATTGGTCAGTATTTGTCACCCTTCCTATGACTCTTGAAGTGGCCCTCTCCCTAAAAAGGTAGGTGACTCAGTTTTCCTTCCATGGAAAACTGAGGCAATGCAAAAGAGGGGCCTGTTTGGGTTAGGGTGAATCCAGTAGTTGTTTCATGTTTAGAAAAAAAAAATAGATTTAAACCAGAAATGGAGCAAAAGTTGACGTGTTCATCAATAAACAGTTGAAACAGAAGCATGTTCTTAAAATGGTGCAAAAGAACCTTTTGTAGATAATAAGCAAAGATGGTGGGGAATTGAGGGTAAGAGATCCTCCACTGTAATTAGATCTTTATATTTGGAAATTAGCACTTTTTTTTTTTTTTTTTTTTAGCCAATATCCTCCACAGATGAACAGACATGGCAACAGTCACACCTCTGAGTAATCTTAACTTACCAGCCCACATGTGTGTAGCTTGTGGGAGGAAACAGACCCCCCCTCCCACATTGGGAAACCCAGACAAAAGAACACGCACCCCTCACAGATCCCATTCATCTCTACTTGAATGATATCACCTTTTTAAAAATTTTGAAAATATTTTCTGCGCTTTTGTTATTCTTCCTCTGTTTCAAGGTTGTATAAAACTGTCACCCGTCTGCTGCTGTGAAAGAACTTTTGCAAGATGTGAAATTTTTTTTTGTGTGTGTGTGTGCTCTGAAAGCTGAATGAGAGCTGTTGTCATCATGTTGAAACCACTTCCTGTTAAAACTGTCCTGCCTCATTGCGCTACATTTGAACAAGGAGTAAAAAAACATGCAGCTGTTCACTTTCATTCCTAAATGTGTCTATTGTAGGTGGTTGAATGCCGTTTATAGCTGCTGCTGAGATGTTTTTCTAAACATTGTCAGACTTTATCCTGTCCTTATATTTATACAACTGGACAATAAGTGTGATAATAATTAGTCATTTTATTTTAGGTTTATTTATTTTTTACACATAAGGCTGGTCTATGACAGGAACAGCATAGCTGGTTTACAATTTTGTGTTTTATAAAGTGCTGTGACTTCTTTCTGTTTCAGGTTCAAGCGGTGTCAGATGGAGGTAAACGCTCATACAGCTACCTTTTTTACATATCCAAACATGTTTGAGCATGAAAAGATCTGATTAAGCCTCAAAGTCAGGCTTTCGTTTAGGTCGTTGTTAAAGGGTGTGTGTGTGTTTGTGTTTTAGAGCTGAACATGTCTGCACGAGGCAGCGGAGGCAGCAGTTCCAGCCTTCCTGGGACCCCGGGAGGCGATGTAAACCCTGCCAACAGCGTCCTGAGCTGGGCTGTGTCCTTTGAGAAGCTGTTGGAAGACCCCTGTGGCGTTGGTTACTTTACGGTGAGAGCAACTCGGGACTCTTTTGGAGTTCTAGCTGTTGAAATAATTTATGTACAAATGTTTTTTTTTTAATATATTTTCATGCAACCAGGCGTGTTTGCTCATGCTTTGTACATATTTCTCTACAGGCCTTTTTAACGTCAGAAGTCAGTGCAGAAAACATCTTATTCTGGAAAGAATGTGAAAAGTTCAGGAAAATACCAGCCACCTCTCTGGATCAGGTATGATCAAACTCTTTGGCTGATGCCTAGTTATATTCAACTCATTATCCTTTGATTTATAAGCCTCTGCCTCCTGCCTGAATTGTAATTTGTAGATATACTCTAAAGTAAATTTCAGTGGTGTTTGGGCAAGGCCTTCAGAGTAATACACAAGATTCAGTATACAGTACAGAATATAGTATTTAAATGTTGGAGGTGATTACCCAGGTTTAAAAGGGATTGGTCAATTTAAACCAGCTTACGACACTCTATTTACTAAATATAAGCAACAACAAAAAAAAATGAAATAAATAAAAAATAATAATCCCAAAATGTTTCTGTTTTGCTTAAAGCTTATATCTCTGAGTCACACGTAGTTTACAGAGGTGTCTGACTTTCATTGGTAAATGCAGTTTGGGGGCTGATTTTTAGATGAACTACAGGAAGAGGCTTCAGACTTTGTAGGTCTTTGCAGAAGTTTTTATGGTCCTTAAACTTTTCTAATGAATTCTTAACTGCAGTGAAAAAATAATTCATGGCTACAAAATTATACAGAAAACTGACCGTTTTAACTTACTGAGTCAGGATTTACTATATTTACAGCAACAGGTCCTTTATAAAATGATCTCTTTACTAGCTTTAAATATTCCTCAAAGAATGAGGGTCATGTTTGGTAAGGTTGGAAGATGGGACTTTAAACCTTTTTTTACTTTTCCAACTTGCCAGATATTAAAGGCCTGCATTTAAGTAGACTAGTTTACCACATCTGCAGGCTTTGATCTAAAACAGAGGTGTTCAATCTTGGTCCCAAGGACCAACTTTCTGCATGTTTAAAGTGTTTCCCTGCCTCCAAACAATGACTTACCCAGGTGATTGCCAGGCATTGGAAGGTCACACTATTGTTTGATTCAGGTTTGGAACAGAGATGTGTATAAAACATGCAAAATGGCAGTAATTCTTACAGATGAGGGTCACAGACATCTAATTTGTTTTTTTGTTGTTGTTCTGGTTGAATGTAAAGGGTTTAAGTCCTGCTGGAAGGTCAACCTCAACCAGTCCTTCTAGGATCGCTCTTGCGTTTAGCTCAGCCCCTCTCCTTAACCGCTTTAGGTTTTATGTCCCTACTTAAAGAAAAGTATTACCACTGTGTGATTGCCACACTTGTACCACAGCCGGTGACCAAAAGCTCATCCGATCGTAAAATGTCTGCTCTGCATGGCTGATGGTCTGTTTATGAATAATTTTTCCAATGACTTGTACTGTTTCTGCAGATTTCACCTCATCTGATTTAAAGAGGGGGAAAAAAATAAAATAAAACACTAAACATTATTTTGGAATTCCAATAATAGACAGTTATAACTTAGCTGTACCTTTATACTTAACAATTTGAACTTGTTTTTATAGTGCTGCCTTTCCATTAATGTTCTGTTTCACAAAAAAAAAATTTTCAAGCTGACAAATGAAAGCTGGGTTTACCCTGATTATGCCCAGCTACAATATATAGTACTTAGCCTTGTTTTTTCAGGCAACTGTTTAGACTTTTTTTTTTCCTGCATCACACTTATTTGTAAAAACCTTGAATAAGTGTTTATTTTCCTTCTGCGTCACAGCTATACTCTGCTGTTGCTCTATCAGCTAAAATTGTCATAAACATTTTTGTTGTAACGTAAAAAAAAGTGGAAAGTTTTATATTTTTCATATTAAATGACTTAAGGACATTATTTGACCTGTTTTTTTATTTGTTTGTGGTCTCTACTGATTTATTTTAACGCAAATTCTGTTTTCTGCAGTTAAAAGCAGCAGCTCGCTTTATCTATGACACCTATGTGTCTGACACCGCTCCCTACTGTGTGAACATCGATGACACTGCCAAGACGGAGGAGAAGGACCTGGAGAATCCCACTCCTGAGATGTTCAACAAAGCTCAGGCCCAGGTTTGCAGAAAGATATAATTTAATGCATCAGTAGTACAGGTATTTATTGCTTCATCTGGGGCTCAGGTCTTCTGTTTTTTTTTTTATTTTTTTTATTGCATTAGATCTTCAAATTGATGAAGATGGACAGCTACCGGCGCTTTGTACGCTCTCCTCTCTACCAGCGCTGCACTTTGGCCAGTGTAGAAGGGAAACATTTACCTCAGATCTCGAAGGAGCCGGTCCGCATAGGTTCCTGGGAGGACATGTTCAACAGGAGTTCCCCGAGAGACAATAAGGTCATTAGATTAAAGGACGGCACTTTCAGGGTTCATTATTGTTGTTCAACCTTGGTTTCTGTGTAATCTGTCAAACAGGACAAGTCCGACTCGAATAGCCTGCCAGGTGCTAAAAGTGAGAAACGACATAAAAGAGGATCCTGGGGAGGTATTGGCTCTAATGTCATAAACAGACCTTTAAATGATAACAAGAAAAAAAACAACTAAATGCGTATCTTTTTGTCTGCAATCAAAGATGCATCAAATGGCCAAGGCTCAGTTTTCGTGAAGGGCTCAAACATGTCTACCAAATCAACCAGCAGTGTGGAGCTTGGCTCCCTCTGCAGACAGATGGAGGTCAGTACAACTATTGCAAATATTAGGGGCTGCTTTAACTCATATGCATAATGTGACACTACTGTTAATAGGAAATAACTAGCATGTAATCCTGAAGTTGGCAAGCAGATCTTGAAGTTAATCAGTCTTCTGCTGTGCAGAACGGTCGGCCCAGTTCCAGCAACCGTGATCAAGGAGCTGCCATTGGGAGTCGTCTGGGGATGGAGGGAGGATACTGCTGTGTCTACCTGCCTGATGGCAGTGCCTCTCTGGCCCCTACCCCTAACGGCCAGCCAATCAAGGACATGCTGGCTAGCCTGTGTGAGAAACGGGGCTTTCCATTAAAAGATGTCATCATTTACCTTCATGGCAAGGAGAAGGTCAGAGCTTCATCTGTGCCTAATCATGCTGCATCACTTGGTTTAGATAAAAGCAGCAGTGTTGCTCTAGGCATGTTGGTTAACCATATGTGAGATGGTTACCGCTTCCTCATCCGACTTAGTTTTGTCTTTGCATTTTAATTTCTGAACATTTTGATCTATACCATTAATTGTCTTTACAATTTTATCCTGGTTTCATCTGTCTGATACACTGTTGTCTTTCTGCAGCCCTTATCGTTGGAGCAGGACTGCTCTGTGCTGAGGGATCAGCAGGTCTCTCTCGAGCTCAGGGTGATGTTTACGTGAGTCATCTTAGTCACTTCCTTTTTCTTTTTTTTTCTTTTGTATTAGTCACCATAAGCAGACTTTCTCGCCCACACCTAACCATATTTGGGGGAAATCCTTATCTTCGTCTGAGACACATTAGCTTCCTCTAAATACATGACCAAATTAGGTTTGTTTCCGATATATGTTAATAGGACATTAGGTGTTTACTTATTTTGGTGTCTGTCTATGGGATTGTTTTTAATATGATGTCTGAGGGGATTTTGTTGAAAATGCTGTCATGTCACAGGCTGGAGAATGCCTTCACTGGTAAGACAGTGGCAATCATGGTGAAGTCCAGTAAGACGCTGCAGGACGCCCTTTCTGCAGTGCTGCAGAAACACCACCTAAAGCCCCAAGAAGCTGTGGTCACCATGGTAAGTGGGTGTTATCTCCAAGTGTTGCAACTTATGTCTGAAAATGTGTTTTAACATCATAAAGTCAGTAATTTACATTTGCTAATATTTGCAATGCACCAAGTTTATTGTACAGTTATTAGAGAACTGCTTCATAGAAATACTTCTGTCAAATAAAGTAGATCAACATAAATTGCTGCCTTTAGAGCTGCGTGGTATATTAACAATAGCAGCTTAAATGTCACCATCTGCAATATCTCAAATTACTGCTTGGATGAAATGTTTACAAGGAAAAAAGCATCATATTTAAAATGCTGTACATTCGCAAATCATGAATACATGATTAAATGCTTTTAATACCCACACCGGGTAAATATTTGTTGGGGTTTAAATGCTGATACTTGTAGAGAGTTAGAGGCATTGGGTATTTGTGAAAGAGAAATAAACATTGTATTGCTGCACAACAAATTTGATGCTATTATGGAAGAACTTATTGCTGAATGGTTTTACTCAGTATCCTGTGTAACATCAGAGTCTCTTTGAATTTATAAGATGTTGTAAAAACCATTAAAGCTTTAAGTATGTTGGTCAGAATATTAAAAAGCTGTATTATTACTGTTCTTTGTATATCATATCTAAATCAATATTATCTTAAGCTTACATGTTGTTTTTTTTTGCATTTTTGATTGTTTTTATTTCAAATGGGACTCAGGGATCAGTTATCATACAAAATTATCTTTTTTTCATCCACTCTTATTCAATGAAAAGAGGGAGAAAGGTCAACATTTTCCTGAAGATTGAGTTATGTTATTAATTTAGCTATTGGTGGTATTGCAAAGTGCACACCTGAGATGGGAAGTAGTAACCCCAGAGCCTCCATTTCTTATTTGAAGTCATAAGATGATTCATATCTGTCCAAAGGCCAGTTTCTCTTAATAATCATCTCTTAAAAATAGCCCACTTATCAGTTAATGGTGCATTTGTGGAAGAAGATGTAATCCTAACTTTTTTTTTAGAAATCATCAAAGTTAGTTATGTTTGGAAGGAAAGTGTTAAAATTGGGATCTGAAGATTTATATATAGATGATGGGTATTTCCAGAACCTACATCATCAGTATATGTTCATGTATTTCTTGTTTTAGCATTGAGTAGGCTGAAGGTCTTTGTGTCAAAATGGTTTAAATTGGTTATTTTAATCAGCTTAAGAAATAATTTGGTTATTTAAACATTTTGATTCCATGAAGAAATATTTTATTTTTATATTTAATTAATGAGACAATTTGCATTGTGATTGGGTGTGTTTGTCAGATTAAAAATACAATTTTACAAAGGTTTTAAACATACCTTTAAGACCACGTTTTTTTTTTATCATTATTATTATTATTCTGTAATTGTAAACTTAAATCTTATCTTTCAATTTGGTTTGAGCTGGAAATCATAAACAAAATAATAAGGCTAAAAACATCTTTGCAGTGTGATTGATCTATTGTATTTTACTTGGGGGAATTAAACTGAACTGAGCAAAATGTTTAACAATTTAATTCAATTTAACTGTATATGTTACTTAGTTCAGGTCGTTCTGTATTCTTTCTATTACAAAGATCTGCCTAAACGTGCTTAGATAATTCTGACAGGATTTCCTTTTCTGTTTCTGTGGGTTTCAGGTTGGAAGTGACGAGCCTGTGAACCTGAGCTGCTCCGTCTACAGGCTGGCCAATAAGATGCTACGGTTGGACAAAGCCAAAGGTTAACATGCCTAATTTTTGCTTTTACAACAGTTTAATTAGTGAACTAAACTGAACAAGTTTGCATAAGTAAGCTTTTCAAACTAAAGTGGAAATGCATCAGAAGCAATGCCTTCTGATCTGCATCACCTGTTAGTTGATTGTGCAGACGTCATTAAAACTGCTCTCCTCTTGCATGTGACTCTTATGCTTTATTTTTCTCCAATGACATGTTGTGCATTTTATGACTGTTGTTCCTTGAATCTAGAGGGGATGAGATTTTTACTTTCCCTCTAACTGCCCTGGTTTCTCTACATCCCATCTTTCACAATCCTTACATTGACTAATCTGATTTTTTTTTTCCTGTTACTTCGCTTGGTTTGAAGTGTCGCAATGCATTTGATTTGTTTAACCTTGTCATTTTCTGGCTTGCTCATCTCTCAGCTTTACTTCATAGCTATAGCCTGTGCTTAGTTTCGTTTCACTGAGTCCAGGAAGAACAAAATTGACGTATTAAGTTGTTTGTTTTTTTTTTATCTTGGTGAAAACAGGTAAAGATCAGAGCATCATTCCAAGAGGGGGTGGTTCTTCTCCCCATACACAGGTGAGATGACATTTGTTAATACATTAACATTTTTTATTTTCTCTTAAGTGTTTGTTGATAATGCTCATTCCACAGTTTAGAAAACCTAGATAACTCACTAACTGTATCTTATCAGGGTGCTACGATGTTTGCAAGGCATTGTTTTTTTTTTTTTCTTTCGAAAGATTAGGCTTAATCTAGAGTTGGTGTGGAGTTAAACCATACAGCAACACTGTCTCCTTGCTAAATTATTCAGAAGGGATTTTGCATGGTTTCCTTATTTTATTTTTTCAAAGGAAGTCATTCTACAAGAGACTCAGCTTTTCTTGGTGCTTTATTATAGATATTTTCACGTGGGGAACAATTTTTGTTTATAAAACTAATCTTTATGACAGTTTAGAGTACTTGTTTCATTCACAGTACTGGCCCGCTTGTAAAATTTATTAAGGAAAAAAAAATCCTTTTCAGAAGTCCTCCTACAGTAAGCCTTGAAAATGTAACAAACTCTTTCTCTGAAAGAAACTTGAAAAGAACCAAGGTCTATCTTTGTGTTATAAAAAAAAAAGGTTAAGTTTTTAATGTCTTTAGTAGTAATGCAGATATTGCTATATTGATCTAAAAGTGTTTTTTTGTATTAGGCATGTCTTTTTCTACAAAGCTCGCAGTAAATTCCAGTGTTAAATAAGAAGTGTCGTAAAAATTACGTAGAATTCTGATTTAACACTAATTTCAAATGCACTATTGAAGTGTTACTTTAACACTGCAAAGGTTACTGCGTTGAGCACATCTGCAAAATGTTCCTGCCTTTTGGGTAAAAATGGAAATGTGACACTTATGTGTTAAATCACATTTACAAAAACAGGCCAGAGGGATGTTTTAAAGAATTTCTGATCCTTTTTTTATTTTAATTTTTTTTATACAGTATATCTTGCCCCTGCGACAATCTAAGATAAATCAGCTTTTCTGTTAACTGCATAAAATTCCTTAATTCACAGCTTTTTATAAAGTAAGTCAGTGTGGCTCTTTTTCATGCCTTATGTCAAATTAAACATCCAATTACTGTTGAATCTGGCTGCCATCCAAAGCTATCCCCTGATTAAAAAAAAATAATTGCAAAAACTGTTTTTCACGATGGCAGATTTTAGTACCATCAATGACATTAGTTAAGGGTTTTTTTTTTTGTTTTTTTAAATGTACAATTGGAATCTTGTTATAACGATGCTTATGTAATTACAAGGTATAATATCCAAAATGTATAAATCATCTTTCTTGCATCTATTTTTGCACCCAGGCAGGAGCAGTAAGTGCATCTCTGGAGCCTCGATCATCAGCACAACCTGAGAGAGTCAGGACACCACACAGACCCAGTAAGAACCGCGACATGGACGGTAGGACCCCAATGCAATAGCTTGGCACGTAACCACATACTGTTTATTTGTTCTCTGGATCCCGAGATCACTGTGGGTCATTGAGGGGTTAAAGAAAATCAAATGAATATTTCTAAGAAGTATATTAAATCAAGTCAACTTGAGTCAGGATGAGGTCCAATAAAAAGCAACTATGGTTTTTTTTGCTTAAGAATTCGGGATCACATCCAAAAAAAGTTCAAGGTGGAATTTATGTAATGGACTAACAAAGAGTGGTAGAAAAAAATGTATTTGTGAAAGAATTGGTCACTTAAAAGCTTTTGAATTCCAGTGTGGTACTAGTAGGCGATCTGTGCATAAAGTACAGTCAAAAAATTTCTCTCTCCTAAAACTTCCAAAGTTCACTGTCATTAGTTAAGTTTACATGCACAAAATTTCAGGATTGGATTGTAATGTATTTTGACTCAAGACAACATATACCATATTTTCTTGACTATAGCACACTCCTTAGTAAAAGCTACGCCACCTAAGATTTTTATTTGGTAATGTACATGTATATAGAAAAGGGGTGGACCCGTTCTTCTGGTTCAATTTGCAAGTCTTCTGGCTACCATATAAAGCTTCAAACTCGATGCTAATTCTGACAATTTAAATTGAAAAAGTTTCCTGGATGGGAAGCAAAATGTCTTCAAACTTGGAAACCAAGTTCAGTGGATTAACTCTTTTTGGTATGACGTGGGGTTCACATGCTTGGGTCAGATTACCTTATTAAGAATAACTTGATCCTGAAAAGCGTCTGCATGCATGCCGATCGGTTTGACAATCGGCATAAATCTATCTTCCTTTGTTGGATTACAATTTCTTCCTCCTAATGCCAAATTGGATCAGATACTTCTGACTGACAAGTTTAGGTGACATATTTTTAGTCCAATCGGCCATTTATTCAGATAACTAATGTTCATGCAAACAGCAACTGGTGCTATATCAATGTAGAAACAGTTTGAGCAACAGCAGCTCAGCTTTGAAATTGGTAGGCCACTTAAACCGATGGAATTTCATGAAAGAAATCCAAGCCATATATATAAACCCAGTGAAGCACCATTTGCAGTGGTGAAAAGCATGTCGCTTTCTTTAAATTGACAAATTGAGCTTTTCAATCTGGCAACCTAATGGATGAATCTGTGTTTTGCAGTTGCCAGGAAATTGGTACTTGTTCCCATGAAAGGGAACAAGTAAATGATCTGAGATTTTTTGCATTTTCCTGTTTCCAACTTTGAGGGAAAGGTTTGGAAATGATGCCTTCCTCTTCCAACATGACTGTGCACAAAGCAAGTAGCATGAACATAGATTAGTGTTTGGTGTGGATGATTTGAACTTGATGGAGCACCTTTTGGTATGGGTAGAATCAAGACTTGGGCTCAATCTGAATACCTCAAATTGTAGTTCCCAGCTCCTATCCCTTAACCTATCGGGGAGCCAAAATTAAGAACACTCTCCAGGGTAAGGAAAGGACTTTCAGACTGATGTGCTGAATCCAGACGGCCTCCAGCCTTATTGACCTTATTAGGTGAAAATAGGTAAAACTAATCTACGTACGTTTATACGCTGCTCGATAAATAAAGGGAATATGTAAACAACACAATCTAACTTCAATGAAATCAAACTGTCTACTTACGAAGCAAAACTATCAATTTCACATGCTGTCGTGCAAATGTAATAGACAACAGTTGGAAGTTATTGGCAAGAGTGGTGGACCACAGACCACTTCTCAGTACCTATTGCTTTCTGGCCAATGTTTTGACTCACTTTTAAATGTTGGTGGTGCTTTCACACTCATGTGGGACATAGAGACCGCCTCATGCTACCACAAGTGGCTCAGGTGGTGCAGCTCATTCAGGATAGTGCGTCAATACAAGTTGTGGCAAGATGGTCTGTGTCCGTCAGCGTAGTGTCCAGAGGCTTGAGGTACAACCAGAAGACAAGTGTATGTGACGTGTATGTATTGGCACTGGGAGGCTTCATACTTCCTTGTCCTAGCTCCTTCCTAATTGCTAGCACTATTCAGATAGCACAATGGCTTTAAATAGCTGTAGCCTATGTCTGGACTTTGAGAGGGCCAGTATGAGCTATGAGTATGCTTTGCTGCTAGCTGTCCTGTTCGAAGGTGAACTACAGTATGACCAACCTCACAGCCTCTATTAAAATAACACCAAAATAAATAAAATAAAATCCACACAGCATCCCGTCATTAACAATGAATAGTGTAGTGAATAGAAATCTTACTAGTAATGCAAGCTGCTGGGTGATACCAAAGCTCTTGTATGTGTGATTTAAGGGTAAGGTCATTCTAGAAAATGAATAAAAAAAGCACTTTTTTTTTCTATGTTAATATTTTTTCAATGAAAGTGTTCCCCAAATTGGATTTGCATTGTGTTGTTCTATAGCATAAACTTTACCACACTTATCACTTGCATCTTACCAATAAATGGTTCTGTTGCATATTGCCCAACGTTGTTGCATCTTAACAGTTACCTGCAGGATTAACATGATTGTCTTAAATTGCTTTAGGGTTTCTGGATATGCTGACAAAAGCTCAGTGCTGCAGAGTAGATGACCAGAGAGGCCTTCTGACCAAAGACCAGCTAGAGATCCCCTTATTTCTGCAGCGTCCTTCAGACCAGAGACAGAATACAGACAATCCCTCTACAACCAGCTCTTTCAGTGCTGACTCGAAAACTGAATCGGAGGACAAAGAAATCTCTTCTGCTGTAGCCAAGAAACCTGAGGAAAGTTCTGTGGCTCCTAAATCTGGATCTAAAGACTTAAGGGAAACAAAGGTTTGATGGAAAGCTGTGTTGAAATACAATAATAAGCCTTAAAACCCAATGAACAGAACAAAAATGTGACATTATTTACATAAAAAGATATTGTTGGTGTAAATGCACTTTTTTAGTAAATAAGCTTGGTCAGCAGTATATATATATTATTTTTTTGGGGCCTCAGTATTTGATCAAATGGCCTGTTAAAGAAAAGTTTAGTTAGGAATAAAATATATGGAAAACATTTGTGTAATTTATGAAACACTACAGATCCCGATTTGAGAATGTGTATAAATTTGTACTGTACCCTGTATAAAACATTCTATCTTAATATTGAATTCTGGAACATGTTATTGATGTAGCAAGTCAGTCAAACCTGCAGTCGTTGTTGTATGTTAAATCTAAAGCATAACCGTGTCTTCAAAGTAAACATTTGTTCTGTACAGCCCTCGAAAACAAATTTGCATGACTTTGCTTTATGGTTAAATGTTATATGAAGAGTAGCTTAAATTACTTGAAATTGTTTGAATTTTTGTGTGCACTTTTTTTGTTTTGTTTTTTTCCATGCATGTTTTGCATGCTATGCTGTGATAGCACTTTGAAGCTCTGATCATGTCCTGTTTCCAGAAATCCTTGACTGCATTTCAGGGTCCAAGTGATTAACCATTTGCTCGTTATGAGGGTATCTGATCCAGTGTTATTGTAATATTCAATGAAGTGTATCTGACGGTTTCCATACTTGGATCTGATTGTTCATTTCTTGCATGGAATGAGTGTAAACTGAGCTTTTAAGCCTCAGTGATTGGTTTTATTATTTTTTTTAAATCAGATCAATTTCTGCCTGAAGTAATGATCTGGATTAAATTATACAATTAGTGCCCTGTAAGATCTGTGAGGCTCAGAGTGATTGTGAGTCATGCACAACAACATAATTAGGAAGAGTTTGATTAAATTTCTGTTTATTTTACTGATAAAAGAAATCTAATGCTTTTATGTAATTTAATTCTTGTCCAGCAATGAGGATATTTAGTAGTTATTGGTTGCTTAAATAAGTTTTTATCCAAGGAAAGTGGTTAATATTTCCTCAGACCTGTTGCTGAAAGGTGATTTGCAGTTTTTCCTCGATGGCGAGGCATTACACCAACCTATTAGATGAGTCATGGATGATCTCATCCCCTTGGATGACGCAAGCAGTTTATACATTTCATAGTATGTGGCAGTACATAGTTTGGAATGAATCCCACCTACTATACCTTGCTTGATTGTTGTTTACATGGCATTATCATGGGTCTAGTTAAGCATTAGAGAATGAATGGCACAACATTAATATGCAAAGTATTCAGACACAGATGACTAGTAGCATATCTGGCATTTGCGCGTTTCTATGCATGCACGTCTCCAGTCGTGCGTTAGTGGTGCGTCGGAGGAGGTATGAATGGGCAGAGAGGGGTGTTCTCTCTCACACACCGTCACAGCTCTGGGATGAGGAGTGCCATCTACTCCACTACACGTCTGCTGTGCTGCTGAAAGAAGACGAACAGGGAAGTAAAGGAGGTGAGCCTTTGATATTATTTCTAGGATTTCTTTTTAATTTCCAACATGATTTAAAAGGTTGATGCAGAGTGTGATGTTTGTCCTTGTCATCCCCCTTCTTTCCCCCTCCTTGCCTGTCATACAGCACATAACTGCTTGATAGAATGCAGTTATGCGCTTGGTAAAACCTCCTTGTGGTCTCTAAAGGAATTTATCCGTTTTATTCTCTGCCTCATAGGGATGGAGGGTTTTCTAGCAATTGAATTAAGATTTGTTTTTAAATACTATAAGTGTTAATGAGGAATGCAAAAGGGACCTTAAAGGAGATTCATCTATGAAATGGATCCATATATGTAAAATAAATCCACTATTTGTGATAAATGTGATAAAATCTCTGCACAGTCTTAATGGGGAGAGATACAAGTCTCAGCTGTTGGTTGAACAGGAGCAGCTGTGACTGCTGACCAAATTCATCCTGTCTGGGAGGGTCGAGGGGATGAGTGTTAAAACACCTGAACGGGGGGAAACATGCCTCATTACAACCAATATACAGCAACTCATCACTTTCTCCTTATGGGTTTTCTGCTCTGGTGTTATTAGAATAAGTGGCCATCCTCTGACCTTGGAGCTTGAACATCACTATGTGCAGGCATGGTGCAAGGTAATAATGTGAGACTGAGGTAGAGAGCTCTAAACCTGCACTGGGTAAGCACTTTTGAGCTTAACTTTGGTAAAATGAACTCAACCTGATGGTTTGGAATAAGAACTGTTGTCCTTGAACATATGAGCAAAACTCTCATTTTAAAGGTGAAACAAAAAGATATCATGGCAAAGCTACCCAGGGAAACCAGGAGCTATATTACTGAGTTTTTAGATTGCAGAAAGCTAATCACACATCTAATTCCTCTCCTGTTCCAATTCTGAGTTCGGGAGTTAATTGCTGTTGACCTTTCTCTAAAGAACAGGCTAATATCTCTTGAACAGCTTAGGATTTCATTTAAACTTGATGCTGCAAAGTATTCCATTGCGATTCTTAAAGCTGCTATTTCTCATCTATTATAACTTCTTTTTGCATCTTCCGACAGCCATCTTAGTGATGTGGGCACAATGAAAATGTCAGTCTTCTACTATATTGTTGTTTTTTTCTTCTGCTATTCTTGTCAAAATCTTCCAAGCATAAACTTGGATGAAGAGTTTCTTTAAATCAATTTGGTTTCTCAGTCGGATTTAGATCTGAGCTTTGACAGTATTATACATCTAAATCTTCCAATTCCTCCTACCATCTTTCAACATCTTCTTTCACTTTGGGAATGAGTACATGGGTGGAGCTCTGGATAACTTCTATAGCTACTAGGTGCTATGCAAAGGGAGGAAAAAGTAAAAAAATAAAATAAATAAAAAAATCCACTCAAAAGTTTAGTAACGTTGATAAAAATATTACTCAAGTTCATGTTCAGTTAACAGTGAAAAATGTTACTCCAAAGTAAAAAATGCTTAAGCAAAATTTTACTTTAAGTACAAGTTACTCTGTTACAACAAAATCCTTCTGGTCTACTTTATAAGGAAATTAGTAACTAATTAATTTAAACTGTTACAAAGAAAAAAATGCAGCACGTTTTCTTAAATTACATGTTTGGCAGGTAATGATGTGTAGCAAATATTTTAAGTTTTGTTTATATATAATTTCTCTCATCTCTGTAACCTTCTTAATGTGCATGTATGTTGCTTCTGTAGTTATCTTCCTTAGAATCTGGTGATTCTGAACTTCATCCCATCCTTTGTCCAAAACATCCACCACTGATCATTCACTGTTTTCAGATTCAATCAAATTAATTATAATTATAAGGAGTGGAAAAGGCTCATGTATATGCAATATGCAATATCGATATTGGGGGCTTTAAAAAAAGATATCTCATATACTGGCCGATATCCGATACACGGCTTAAAGTGAAAACGTGCTGGCTAAGAGGAGGCGTTTTGTATTTGATTCATTTTTGGGAGGAAAAAAGACAACAACCCAGAAATATAAATTTGGCACATTTACAAGAAACTGAAAAGTTATCTCCTCCACTGAACACAAGATTAATATTAATAGATTAATATTTAAGTAAAAAAATCCAGACAGGATTACAACTAAATCCATAAGTTGGAACCTTTTAAAAATTTGTTTAATTAAAAATATTAACTTCTGAATTTATGAGCCCCAGTACAGCCTGCATGTTGGCATGAAGTGTAGTGGAACATAATATAATCTTATTTTTCTTCTAAAGTTGTTTATTTTACAAATAGCTGAAACATACACAAAGCTAAAACACTAATATGTTTGCCAAAATTCATCTGCTCTCCTTAACGCACCCTACCACCGTGTTTCCATGAGTGTTTGTTATGGAGGACTAAAGTGTACTTTTACAAAATCACAGCCTACTCTGGAGTAAATTACTTAGCTTCTCCCTCCTTGTCCAACTCTATGCTTATGCAAGCAGCAGCTGTGAGCATGTATGTTTACAATCACTATTTAGAGCAGGGACTATATAGTGAACTCAGTCAACTTACCCTTCGAACAGATGATCACTACTTTTTGCTCCCCATCGGTCATGTGACTCCGTCTCCCTGCATGCTGCCTGCACCATTTTTGTTAGTTGTCACCGCTGTTGGCTATTGACAGCAGACAGCTGTAACAACAACAGTCTGGGATATATGTGCTCATCTAGTGACCAGGGATGATCAATACTTTTCAAGATGCATTGTGGGAAATCTCCATTTCACCACTAGATGTTTGGACACTCATCTAAAATGTTGTTATTGTGATGGTCATATTGTCCTGAGATCAGGTGTCCAGCACACGCTGTCAGATCGGCATAATATTAGTTTATATCCAACCTAAATAATTAACAATATACCACAGCCAATGTTTTCTATGTATTTAAACATGACAACGAAATCTAACCAAATTTAAATTCCCCCACACGTTTTTTTTTTTTTACTATTAAAATATCTGATTTTATAGTAATATTGACTAATATAATTTTAGCTATAAAGGTTTCTTCTCTCAATATCCCACAAACTTTAATATGTCTGGCCATTTCTGCATCCAAGAAATAACCATATATTCCAAGCTGATTTTCTTTTTTAAAAGTTAAAATAAGTGTGTTTTTGCTGGTCTGTACACTGCTGTTAAAATTTATTGTGGTAATAATTCTCTGCTCCGCATGCGTATTAGAAGAATGTATGCCGATCTGACAGACAGGACACCGACCACATGTTTTTCGATGTCAACTATTGAAACAGACGCTAAAATCAGCCTGATAAATCAGCCTGCTGATTAATTGGTCAGGCTCTAATACTCACATAGTCATAGTCATAAATGCAACAATTTACTTTCCGTCTCTGCTGCTATGTAATTATTAAAGGCTTGCAATTAATCAACCACACTAGAGGGCAAACTTTGCAGTGCATATTAATCAATAAGAGGAAAGGAAAATCATCAATCATTAAAAACCAAAGAAAGTCAGAAAAGGTGAGGTGGGGGAAGAAAAAGAGATGGGTTTATAGGATAAAGAAGACAGCATGAGTGATGATAGCTAGAAGAAGCAGAGAGGAGGTTCTAAGACATGGCGGTTAATCATTAGTAATAATATTTTATATACATGTGGTAACAGCCTTTACTTCTTTAGAACTATATTTTTCTGTTTTCAAAATAATTGATCACCCATCAAAAAACACATTTACACACTGTGTTTCAGTTTATTTTGTTGCATTGTTTATAAATGGCAAATATTATAAACAAATCATATAATGTGTCGGTTCACAACTGAATACATGGTGTGATCGAGGCAACTGGCAGAAGTTTTAAATCACAAGTTTGTATGTTTCTCATCTGACATTATTTGTTAGAGCTTTTTATGTTTGTCTTTCAAAAATGTTTTTGTTTTTATGATTTCCAAGAATCAGTTTATGGACCATTTTCAAGAAATGTTGGCTCAGTTTCAAGTGCTGATAGTGTGCAAATATGCATATTTTTTTTGTTTCGCAGGGAAGCAGCTGGTTGCTTCAAATATTAAATGTTTATTGTGGTGATCCAGGAGATAAGAGTCGTGGAACAAAGTGCTGTGACTTTTTTTTGTAAATGGAAATTTGTAGTAACCTGAACGAAAAAGACTAAACTGTTTTTTATCTAGGATGTATAGTGTAGGATTTAAAGAAATGACTCCTAGATGAAGGTATGGTCCGCTTGAATGATCCTATACAGGCTTGATTCTTACTGTTTGAATCAGTCATGTGTTTCTGAATAAGCCAAAAGCAAACGAGACAGATCTGCACTAAACAGACTAAACTGTTGCAGTGTGGAAGATGAGGAGAAGCTCCTATGGAAAGTTGTAGTTCTTTTGTTACAGCAGAAAGTGCATTCTCCTTTCTCTATGGATGAGGACCACTTCAGGTGATTAGAAAGGTTGGATCCTAGGAATTCAACATTATCCTCACAAAAGACTGTGTTAATGAGAATGAAGAGTGGCTTCTCCTGACGCCTACTCATGGCCGGACAAACCGGACTCGATTTAGGATCTGATCTTTATATTTGTTATTTGAATGTAAGACAGTGATTAAAAACAAATGTATAAACAAAAGGAAGACAGAAACAATAGAAAAGGAAAATACTTTATTCAAAAGAAGTTGGAAGAAGACTGTTAATTTAATCCCACCCCTTTGCTGCACAAAACTAAACTATTACTCTCTATATATAACTATTATTATATAATGCTATCAACATTATCTATAACAATAGTGTTAAGATTATTATTTGTACTACTACTACTACTACTACTAATAATAATAATAATAATAGTAACATTACCTTCATTAACAATACAATACTACTATCAATATTTTTCTTCTTCTCATTTTGTTGTCCTTCGGGCTGTTCCACGGTTTAACTCAACATAGTGATATACAAATACTCTTCCTAGTGGTTTTCCCCAAAGGAATTCTGACTTTGATGTCACCTTGTAAATGGTAGGTTCCAT